CACTACATCAAAAAGTAATGATGTACTGTATGGTGACTAACATAACATAATAAAATTAAATTAAATTTAAAAAAGAATAAAAAAATACTACCATAAAGACTAAGTTTGAAAATGCTTAAAAAAAATCTGAATAGATTAGAACACAAACCACACAGAAGGAACTTAAAAGTTTGTGTGATTTAGGGGCGCCTGGGCGGCTCAGTTGGTTAAGCGATTGCCTTCGGCTCGGGTCATGATCCTGGAGTCCCGGGATCGGGTCCCGCATCGGGCTCCCTGCTCGGCGGGGAGCCTGCTTCTCCCTCTGACCCTGCCCCCTCTCATATACTCTCTCTCATTCTCACTCTCTCAAATGAATAAATAAATTAAAAAAAAAAAAAGTTTGTGTGATTTAAAGAACACAATCTATAAAATGCATAGCTTCTGGGAAAGAAAAAAAAAAGACAAAAATGAAAGAAGACGCACCCTTTGCCAATTGGAAAGAGAAAAAGAAGAAAAAGGAGAAAGAAGAGGGTGCCACTAAACTAAAGAGTACTGTATAGCAGCCAACTGGGGGGTGAATTTTGGTAGTCCCAATGCTCTATAAATGATTCCAGAACATTAAAAAGGAAGCACAACTTCCTAATTCCTTTCATGAATCAACTATAAATAACACTGATACTTGATAAAGGCAGAACAAAGAAAGTGTAAAACAATATTACTTATAATGGTGATGCAAAAAGCTAGATAAAATATTAACAAGCAAATCAGTTTTTCAAATTGAAGAGTTATGGGGATGATGGTTGTGATGGTTGCACAACAATGTGAATGTATTTAATACCACTGAACTGTACGCTTAAAAATGGTTAAGATGGTAAGTTTTATATTAAGTGTATTATACCACAAAATTGAAAAAATATTGACAAACAGAATCCAAGACCACCTTCAGAAATGACATACCATGACAAAGTGGTATTCACTTCACAAATATAAAGTAACTTCAATATTAAAAAATCCATCAGTATTATATACCATATTAATAAATCTAACAGAAAAAAATCATGATTATTTCCATAGATATTAAAAAGGATTTGATAAAATTCAACATCAATTCACTTACAAATATAGGAACTGAGAGATACTTCCTTAAAGTGTTTAAATATATATACTGTAGTCCTAAAGCCATGACTGTATTTAATGAGAAAATTCTAGAGATATTTCCACTAAGATCAGGAACATGAAAGGATGTCCACTATGTCCATTATTATTCAATACTGTACTAGAGGTATGAGCCTCAGCAATTAGATAAGACAAATTACTTACAGGCATAACAATGGTAAAGAAGAAGTAAAACAATCTCTACTCACAAATGATATGATAGTATAACTGGAAATGCCCACAGATTCAAAGACGAAACTAAGTCAAACAATAAAGACTTTAGAGTAAATTAACAGAATATAAAATTTACAAATAAAAATGCCCTTTATATATACAAAAATAAAGAAATGCAGCACATAAAAAATTCATTTATAATAGCAACAAAGATTAAATACTTATAGGAGGAAAATCCTAAAACACTCTTGAAAGACACATAAATTTGA